GTGACGCAGGGTGACCCGGGGGTGACAGTGGGTGACCCGGGGGTGACACTGGGTGACTCGAAGGTGACACTGGGTGACCCGGGGGTGACAGTGGGTGACACTGGGGTGACCCTGGGTGACCCGAGGTTGACCCTGGGTGACCCGGGGGTGACAGTGGGTGACCCGGGGGTGACAGTGGGTGACCCGGGGGGTGACCCTGGGTGACCCGGGGGTGACAGTGGGTGACCCGGGGGGTGACCCTGGGTGACCCGGGGTGACGCGGGGTGACACTGGGTGACACTGGCAGGTGTTCTGGGGGCTGGACAAGAAGCTGGCGCAGCGCAAACACTTCCCCTCGGTGAACTGGCTCATCTCGTACTCGCGGTACCTGCGGGCGCTGGAGCCGCACTACGAGCGCGCCCACCCCGAGCTGCCCGCGCTGCGCGACCGCGCCCGCCGCATCCTGCAGGAGGAGGAGGAGCTGGCCGAGATCGTGCAGCTCGTGGGAAAGGTGCGATTGGGGTTTGTGGGGTCAGGGGATGTGGGGTTTGTGGGGTCTGGGATATGGGATGTGGGGTCAGGGATCCTGCAGGAGGAGGAGGAGCTGGCCGAGATCGTGCAGCTCGTGGGAAAGGTGCGATTGGGGGATTTGTGGGGTCTCTGGGGACTGGGATGTGGGGTCTGGGATATGGGATATGGGATGTGGGGTCTGGGATCCTGCAGGAGGAGCAGGCTGGCCATGGTGCAGCTCGTGGGCAAGGTGGGACTCGTGGGGTTTGTGGTGTTTATGGGGTCTGGGATGTGGGATATGGGATATGGGGTTGGGGTCAGGGATATGGGATGTGGGGTCTGGGATGTGGGATATGGGATATGGGATGAGGGATGTGGGATGAGGGATGTGGGATATGGGATGAGGGATATGGGATGAGGGATATGGGATGAGGGATATGGGATGAGGGATGTGGGATGTGGGATGTGGGATATGGGATGAGGGATATGGGATGAGGGATGTGGGATATGGGATATGGGATGAGGGATGTGGGATGAGGGATGTGGGATATGGGATGAGGGATATGGGATGAGGGATATGGGATATGGGATATGGGATGAGGGATGTGGGATGAGGGATGTGGGATATGGGATGAGGGATATGGGATATGGGATGTGGGATATGGGATGTGGGATATGGGATATGGGATATGGGATGTGGGGTCTGGGATGAGGGCTCCGGGAAGGGGTCCTGGCGCGGGCAGTGCCGGGACCCTGCTGTCCCCCGCAGGCGTCGCTGGCCGAAGGTGACAAAGTGACGCTGGAGGTGGCCAAACTGCTCAAGGACGATTTCCTGCAGCAGAACGGATACTCGGCCTACGACCGGTACCGGGACCCCCGGGACCCCCAACCCTGACCCCAACTCTGACCCCCAAACTCTGACCCCCAAACTCTGACCCCAACCCTGACCCCCAACCCTGACCCCCAACCCTGATCCCCAACCCTGACCCCAACCCTGACCCCAAACTCTGACCCCCAACTCTGACCCCCAACTCTGACCCCCA